TAGGTACTCTTCTCTTTCTCTCCTGAGGAAAAAGTTGCCTTCTTTTTGTTTTACTTAGTATCCTCTGTATTTTAGAGTCTCTAATTTCCCCCGAACTTTCAAAGAACTAGCCTTTCCATATTGTCAAATTCACCAACTTCTCTCAGTTACGTTGTTTTTTTCTTTTTCTTATTTAATGTGCTATAGGGCATATGCACTTTGAGAGACAGAGAGAGAGAAAGTGAAGACTTGAACCACCCTTGGTCACGTGGGAGTCCAGCACCTTAACCACCACCCCACCTGTTGACCCCTCAACTCTCATCTTCAGAGTCCCATTCACCATTGTCCTGAGAATTCTGTTGTCCTCTCTTTCTCTCAGCTGGGTTCCCTGGGTCTCATGCTTGTCTCTGTCTGGATTTGCTCTTGTGTCAGAGAAACACATCTTCCACCTTCCTGAGAAAGGGTGTGCTGGAGGTTCTGATTATTCACAAGACTTGCCAGACTCCAATTAAAGGATAAGCCATGTCAGGTAAAGAAAGCACAGGTAACTGTTAGAGATGCCCACAATATCAAGGGGCAGCCGCCAGGGTCCTTTCTTAGTTGCACAGGGCAGAGTTCATCTACACATCATGAATCGCCAAAATATGGCAAGATATCTTGGTCTCAAGGTAGCTGCTGTCTTACCTGAGTAGGATTCTTTGCTAACGCTGTTCATGTGATAAAAACCATGTGTGGGGCCAGACTTGGTAATAGATATGAAGATCACTATGGGATCCAGATGCTGATCATCAATAAGTACATTTTCTATAGCAAGTGCTGACCAGATGGCACAGGCTGCTCCCCAGTGTGTTTCACACCCTAGAACATGACATATTAATCTTGAGTTACTATAGTTCATTCAGGTCTGGCCAAGGGCCAATTCACTGACTGTATTTTCCTGAGATACTTAATGGGTTGCAACAGACTGAGATTAGCCAGGAGGTAAAAAGATCTTGAATGTTTGAAAAAAAGATCTTTATTTTAATGGTTAACTCACTGTATGCCTAAAATTCTAAGCTGAAAATAATTTCTCCTCAAAATGTGAGAGGCATTACTTCATCGTCTCTGGCAACTCTGTCAAGGATTGCTGTTGGCATTCCTTCTGCATTGCTGTTGAAAAGTCAGCTCCCATCCTGATTCCTAGCCCTTTATTTTTGATTCTGGAAGCTTTGGAGCTCTCTCCTCTGTCCTCTGTAAGCCTAAATTTCATGATGTGCCTTGGTGTGGGTCTTTTCATTCATTGTGCTGGATACTTAGGGTGGCCCTTTCAAAATAGAAAGTAATATTTTTCAACTCATGGAGATTTTTTTCTTTGATGATTTCCTCTCTCTGATTATCTTGGTACTTTCTAGAATATCTATTATTCAGATATTGAACCTGTTAGATTAAGGGTTTGCAGAGTATTTTTCTCATATTTTCCTCCCCTATTATCTATGTTTTTAAAGTAAGTTTTCTTTGGGGAGATAGATTCAACTTTATATTTCAAATATGTATTGATTATTTAGTTGTGATTGTATTTTAAAAACTTTAAAGACTTCTTTCTTGTTCTTTATTCCCTTTCATAGCACCGACTTCCTATTTTACAGATGCGATATTGTCTTTCTTCTCTCCGAGGATGTTAGCTATGGTTTCATTGAAATTTTCTTCTGCTCTCTCGGTCTTATATCTGGTTATCCAAGTTCCTTTCTTTTGATAGTTTTGGGTTTTGCCTTCCACTTTCTCCCTAGTGACCCTTGGCCATCCTTTTATATGAGGAGTGAGACATTGAAAGCAGATTAGGTCAGGTTTATTGATTTACTGGCCTCAATGTACAAGAAATGCAGAAGGGGCCAGTAGTTTCACTAGAAGATGCTAAAATGCCAGTCTCTATAGGTCTTCCCTCTTTTTTTTTTTTTTTTTTTTAAGGTTTCTACCGTAGGGTGCGTATACTCAATCTGAGAGAAACAGAGAGAAGGACAGTGAGAAATCACCTCCCAGAGGAGATGGCTACAACACAATTCCTTTTCTTTCATTCTTCTCTCAGGGTTTTGGGCACATACACACACGCACAGCCCCACCCCTCGTGAGATTTTCAAGCCACTGTGTCTAGGACTCAAACCATGGTTGACCATGTGGGAGTTGAGCACCGTGACCACTATACTACCTACTGGCCTCTGTGTATGTCTTTTCTCTCTGACTGATTACTTTTCCCAAAGAGGACTCTCTTAGACTCCTGCCTGGTTTCCTACACACTGCGAAGGGGCTGTGGTAAGGCGTGTGAGAGGTTCTCTCAGTCAGAATAAAGACTTTTGGTTAATTCCATTATGTTCAGTACAGTACCTCAGTCCTACATCTGACATCCCTGAGCATAAACCTCTAATTTAACATCACCAGAGAAAAATGGAAGAAGTTCAGCCAGGAGAGAGGAGGCAATGAGAGGGGGGAGTCTGCTTGCTGCCTGGACTCAGAGAAAAGATGGGAGGGAGGTTGCCTTCCACCTCTGTTTGTAGCTCTATCCACTCCTGCCTTCCAAGGCACCTGAGGCTCCAGTCCCGAAGCCTTTTCAAGGTTCTTAGTGATGTATGTGGTCGGCAGTCCCTCTGAGGGACACAGCCTTTCCTCTGAGTTGGCTTGGCTCTTCCAGGTGCTTTCTGTCCTTCAAAGCTTTGCCGACATCTGTTATCTACTTCACCTCCATCTCTTCTTTCTTTCCTTGTGGATGTATGCTTTTTAAAAACCCCTTTACTCTTGTCTTAGTTTACTTTGTGAGAGAGCATAGATAAATGTATGTGCCTAATTTCGAGTGGCAGCTCTGGATCTGAGCTTTCTTATATCTAAAATGAGAGGATTAGACCAGATTATCTCTCAGTTTCTATGACTCTTACATTCTATGGATCCATTCCTGTACATAGGTGCTATATCATATGAGACCGACTCTAAGCCAACAACAGGGAGATTATAGAACATGAACTCTCAAGAGAAGTTCCGTCTTAGATGTGGGGGCTGGAAAGTTGCTTGTGAACTGGATAAAAGGGAAGAAGAGGAAGGGAACAGCCTCAGTGAATATATAGAATATATAAAATGACTGGAACCACTGATAAGAAAGGTACATAATGAGAAGTAACAAGAAATTAACTTGAGTATTCACCTGGAGTATGTTGACTACTGTATAAGGGTTTCAAAGGCTGAAATGTTTCCCCCTGTAGTGCTGGTGGGCCTGCAGGTCTGTGTGGCACCGTGGCCATGGGTCTCTGTTCCGCAGGATGGCATTTGTTAAAGTTGTCAAGAGTAAGGCCTACTTAAAGAGATACCAAATGAAATGTAGAAGACAAAGAGAGAGTAAAACTGATTACTATGCTCAGAAATGCTTGGTGGGAACCAGCAGTTAGCGTAATGGCTATGTCGCTGGACTCCCACATAGTCGACTGCGGTTCGTGTCCCGGACCCGGTGGCTTAAAACTCACGCCGGGCGCGTGTGCATGCATGCCCAAGATCCCGAGAGGAGAATGGAGGAGAAGGGATTGCGGCGTGACCATCCCCTCTGGGGGGTGATTTCTCGCTTTCTGTCTCTATGTCTCTGTCTGTCTGGCGAGTGCACGCGCTCTACAATGAAAATCTCTCAAAAAAAATAAAATAAAATAAAAAAAGAAATGCTTGGTGATCTAGGGTAAAAATAAGTACAACCACCTAAATACGGGATGATAGTTGGTGTAACTTACAGAGATATCGTTTATCAGATTGCTTATGCCCGTATAGAAGGGGATATGATAGTCTGTGCAGCTTATTCACCCAAACTACCAAAATAACAGTGTGAAGGGTGGCCTGATAAGACATGCTGCAGCGTATTGTACTGGCCTGCTGCTGACCCACAGGCTTCTTGATAGGTGGCATAGACAAGATCTGTGAAGTCCAAATGCAATGTTGAAAGCATCCACGGTCAACCTGGTGTCTTCACCGGCTATTTGGATGAAGGCCTTATCTGAACTATCATTGGCAATAAAGTTTTGAGGGCCCTGAAGGGAGCAGTGGATGAAGGCTTATCTATCCCTCACAGTACCAAACGATTCCCCGGTTATGATTCTGAAAGCAAGGACTTTAATGCAAAAGTCCATTGGAAACATCATGGGCCAGAACATCGTAGACTATATGCATTACCTAATGGAAGAAGATGAAGTCGCTTACAAGAAACAATTCTCTCATACATAAAAACAATGTAACTCCAGACATGATGGAAGAGATGCGTAAGAAAGCTCACACTGTTGTACGAGAGAACCCAGTCTAAGAAGCCCAAGAAAGAAGTTAAAAAGAAGAGGGGTATCATCCCCAAATGTCCCTTGCCCAGAAGAAAGGTCAGGTAGCTCAGAAGAAGGCATGCTTCCTAGAGCTCAGGAGCAGGCTGTTGAGAGCTAAACCGGACACTTTTCTGTGAAGATATTCCAAATAAAGGCAATAACAACAAAGCAGAAAAAAATGGCTGAAATTTAAACTTCATTGCAATAAAATATAGTATAATGTTGCTACCAAATAGTACTTCGTTTTTCTTATAACTTTTGCATAATTCTTGTCATATAGTTTCTCTTTATAGTGCATTGAGGAAAATCACCCTCGTTTCTTTCTTATAAAGAAAAACTTAAAGTGCAATGATATTATTATTTATTATTATTTTTAAAATTTGGTAGAGGGCATGTGTGCTCATCAGTGAGAGGCAGAGAAAGAGAGAAAGGGAAAGTGAGAAAGCACCCCTCCCCAGGACGGATGGCCATCCTGAATCCCTTCTCCTCCGTTTTCCTCTCAGGATTTTGGGCACTTATGCCCCAAAATACCTTGGATGTTTTTCAGACTGTTGAGTCTGGGACTTGAACCACATGGTTGGTCTCCAACTGCCTTAACCAGCACACCACTGGCAGGCCCTACAATGATGTTACTTTGTGAACTAATGCTGTATATTTTGGAGGTAAAGTATAGTTTTGATGTCATTATAATGCCTTTTATTTTTCTTATAGGTTTTATTGTTATATGCATATAATACAAAACCCCTGAAGATTACAGATGTTAAATATTCTAGTTACAGTTTATGTGCTGGCTCCTTCTGGATTCCACTGGACAGGTAAGTCTTAAGGTGGATCATCCACAGCTCTCTAAATATCATTGTTCTTATTTCTTATGAGAACAGATGGTTTCAGTGATGTGTAAGATAAAGCACAGGAGACCTTTTAAAAAGCATTTTTTCAGAATAATTTTTCTTCTGTGTAGAGGAGTATGATATGCAATGGTTAAGAGCTTGAACTCTGAATTCAGCCTGCTTTGGTTCAAGTGCCAGGTGCGTTCCTGTCTTCACAACCTTAAGCAGTTTATTAACTTCTCCATGTTTCGATTTTCTCACCCATAAAAAGGGAATAATAATACTAGTAGGATTGCTGGAGCAATAATTCATGACACCTGATAGGGATTAAGGAGCATTACATGCACGTTGCCGTACTATTATTTTCCTATAATTTGGATTTTTAAAATGTTTTTGTTTGTTTGTTTGTTGCTATAAGGTGTGTGTGCTGACTGAAGAAAAACAGGGAAAGTGAGAATTCACCCTTCAGGGGAGATGGCCTCGCCACAATCCCTTCTCCTCCATTCTCCTCTCAGGATTTTGGGCACACATGCACATGTGCCCAGAGTGATTTTTCTTTCTTTCTTTCCATTTTTTTTTAAAGAGAGATTTTTGCTATAGGGTGTGTGTGCTTGTCAGAGAGACAGAAAGTGAGAAATCACCTCCCAAGGGGGATGGCCATGCCACAATCCCTTCTCCTCCAGTCTCCTCTCAGGATTGGATTTTGAGCACACACACACATGTGTCTGGCATGAGTTTCAAGCTTCTGGGTCCAGGACTGGAACCATCGTTGGCCATGTGGGAGTCTAACTACATAACCATTATGCCATTTGCTGGTCCTGCCCAGAGTGCTTTTCAAGCTGCCAGTCGGCCACATGGGATTCCAGTGCCTTAACCACTATGCTACCTGCTGGCCCCATTTTGGGTATGTTTTTAAAATAACAGGCTTGCTAAAACTAAGGCCAAACTCCACCACCTCTGGGGCTTACCTTTCCCTCTGTATCCAGTCCTGTTTTATTTTGTTCCCAAAGTCAAAAGTCTCTGCCTTAGCCTGCTTGTGTTCCTTCCTCTCCACACAATAGAACATTCTTCCACTCATGCCTGCTTTCTCTCTTTCCCCATTTCACTTTCTCAAAACTTTGTGTTCTTTATGTTTTATTACTTAGGTTATTTTTGACTCCATTGCTTGTTACCTTTCCGACCTCGGTCTCCATTTCCTCCACCTGTTCTGCCTGCCTTTCAAGGTTATTGTTAGGATCATGCCAGAAAGTGTCTGAACATGCTTGAAAACACCTGTGTCTGCCAGTGTCAGCTCTTTGTCTTGCTAGGCACTTAGTAAGTGCTTGGCCTACAGAGGATTGATGCTTCTCTGTCCTGCCCTGGGGAGTCTTGTTCACACTCCGTGATTTTCATTTTGAATGACTTTTTGGCCTCACCATGAAAGAGAATAAAACAAGAGCTATTTCAAGGGTTGGCATACTTTCAATTATTCAGTCATTTTTTTTTCTTTTAAGCAAAATGGCAGAAAACCTAGGTGTACAGGTTGTATACCTTTAACAAAATTAGGAAATTATGCACTTGCCTTATAAATCCAGAAATATGCAGAATTTTTTTTTCAGAAACACAGGATAAAAGCGATTCTGATTTCTGCCCATTAGGAACTCATAAAACTGGCAGCTCCCCCCTTTTTTAAAAATTGTCAGAGAGTGAGTATGCTCCTTAGAGAGAAACAAACAGAGGGAAAAAGCACCCCACAAGGGAGCATAGTCACACCACAAACCCTTTTCCATTTCTCCATCCTCTTGGGATTTGGGACATGCATGCAGTTATGCCCAGCATATTTTCTAAGCCACATAGGCCCAGATTTAAATCACAGTGGGCCCTGTGAGATCTGACTATAGACCACTAGGCTATAGGACTGGCCTGCCAGAAGTTTTTTTATGACAAAAATTTCTTAATTTTGGTGTGTTTATAATCAACAGTGAGGTTACAAAAACTAGGGACATGCCCCTGCCACTGGAGCTCTCAGAGAAGACAGTGCCTGATAATCTTTCATCTGACCCATCATGGTGGCACTGTGGAAATGGACTACTTCTCTCTCCCCAGTCCCTGTGTTCTTACGAGAGTTAAGATCAATATTTGGGCACTTGATCTTGATCATCTTTTAGAAGGCAAGGAGTAGTAAAATTGTTCAGAAAAAATAGGCCAGGCAAGAAGAAACTTAACTAATCTGTCAGCTGGGTGCCTCCTCTTATTGTTTACTTTCTCATCTTAGAATTAAGTTCTCATAAGGAAAAAATACACATATTTTTAATAATTATTTTATTTACATTTATTTATTTATTTAAAATTTGGCCACAGGAGGACAGAATGAGAAAGAGAGAGAGAAAGTGAGAAAGTAAGTTACAATGTCTGGCCGACTTCAACCACGGTCAGTCAAGTGGGAGTCCAGTGCCCTTAACCACCATGCCATTTTTTGGAGAGGTTTTTAGCTATAGAGTGTGTGTGCTTGCCAGAAAGACAGAGAGAGAGAGAGAGAGAGAGAGAGAGAGAGAGAGAAGGAAAGCGAGAAATCACACCCCCCACCCCGGGAGGGATGGCCATGTCGCAATCCCTTCTCCTCCATTCTCCTCTCAGCATCTTGGGCATGCACGCACACGCACTTGGCGTGAGTTTAAGCTACTGGGTCCAGGACTCAAACTGCGGTCGACTACATGGGAGCCCAGCGACATAGCTATTACACTAACTGCTGGTCCCAGAAAATGTATTTTAATCCTTGGAATTATTGTTAAAATAACACAGGAAAAGATAGTATTCTCAACAAACACACATGAAGGCTTCTGTGTTCAATCAAAATGTTAGTCGTCCCATTGTGGCCATGGTTGAGTTCTCAGCCCACTGTCTCTGCCCTGAAATATCCTATCATCCAAGTTTCTGCTTCTAGTTGGGCCCTGCTTCCAGGTCATGGCAGAATGGGTGAGAGAGTACCCAGGAATCAATAAATGAGAGCAGAGGCTGTAGGAAACTGCTCTGGCCTAAACAAGATGGTGGATGCTTGTTTGTCATGCCAAGGTAGAAGGTCAAGGTAGGCCAGGTGTTGAGCTAGAGGGAAGATATGCAGAAGTACAGAGGAGAGAGGGAAGTCAAAACCATGACAGGCATGCGAACAAAGGAAGGGAGCAAATTATATGGCAAGTGAGGCTGAATACTGAGACTAGGGGTCACCTGATGTCGTCCTCGCTCAGGGACCCAGCCTGCTTTGCTTCATCCCAGGCTGCTCTTTGTGGAACTAGACTGGCAGTGAAAACAGTGATGTTCTGGACATTCACTAATAATCTGCTATCCAAATGTCAAAAAATAGTCTACCTTTGCCACAATCCCAAGTATTATGATAGAAAACTATGTTATTTTTGGAAAAAATTACAATTATTTCTCTAGGTTTTAGAATACCATCTTTCCTTTATTTGGAAAGACATAGTTATGGTATTTCATCCTTAAAAAGTCCTGTGAATTGGATGAAGTGGATTTTATCATTGCAGTTTTGCAGAAGGAAGGAACCTCATGGCTGTGGTCCCATGGCTAGTGTGTGAAGGAACCAGGCGTGGCTCACCATGTCTTTTGAGTTCTAATCCTGTTCTCTCTTCAATGCATCAGGCAGGTTTTCCAGAATTTTTGGAGATGACCCAATTTTAAAGGGTTAAGTTTCCAGATAAACTTTTAACAACAGATCTTTTATCAACTGTTGCTTTTTAAATAGGAACATTTCTAAAACATAATATATAAATTTAAATCCTTTCATATTTTATTAAAGATACTATTTACCTAATTGGTGAGAACCATCATTAGGGTACATCAAGTATTACTCTGTACAGGAGATGAAGATGCTGTGGAAAATTGTAGGACTGACATTCTTGCATATGTTCCTGACGTTGGCTTGCTCTTTAGACTCTCTATTTCTTATGTTCTTTCATTACTTCTTTTCTCTTATGACTGAATCTCAGTATGACTCTCACTTAACCTCCCAAGTACCTGGGACCACAGATATTCACTACTGTGCCTGGCCTAGAGTCTAACCTGGATATCCCCTATTTGGCCTCAGTCTACCCAACAAGAGTATCAGCCAGGCATGCTAACATGACTGGGCCATATGCACTTCTTTTTAAAAAAATGTTCCTCCTTCTTTGGATAGAGAGATGCATGCATGCACGCACACACACACACACACACACACACACACACACGTATGTGCAGTATGGGGCTACTGAGGTCCATACAGGTGACTGTTTGCCTCCTTCAGCTGTAAGCCTTCCACCTCCTGCCTCCTCTCCACTGACTGCTCTCTGTCTTCAGGCACCCATACTGTTCACTGCCCCATGGCCCCTGAAACGTTCTGTTATCAGCATCACTGTCCCTGTGTCCTCTGCCCTCTTTGGATTTTGCATTATTTTTTTTAGAGATATTTTTTTTCTATAGGGCACATGTGCTCGCTGGAGAAATAGAGAGATAGAAAACAAGAAATCACTAACCAGAGGGGATGGTCACATCGCAATCCCTTCTTCTCCACTTTCCTCTTGGGATTTTGGGTAAACACACACACACACACACACACACACACACACACACACACGCCTGGTATGTTTTGGGCACACACACACACACACATGCACCTGGTATGTTTCAAGTGTCCAGGTCTAGGACTCAAACCACAGTAGGCCATGTGGGAATCCAATGATGTAACCATTATGCCATCTTCTGACCCCAGAATTTTGCGTTTTCTTTTGTCTTGAGTCTTATTCCACCTCCTTGTCTTCCTTCTCCGATATGCTGAACTGTTACGGGCTCATTGTTTGGCTGTTTAGACATATTGCTAACATTGTAATTCTTCCCTTCAGCTTAGCCAGACAATCTAGCATAGTATTAAGATTTGCAATGTAAGGATTAATCTTTTATTATTGTCTGTAGTTTCTTTGCCCATGTAGATATTTATTTTCCTTATCTTCATCTGCAGTAATATTTTGAATCTGCACTTTTCTTTCTGTATGCTTTTGCCAATTTCTTTTCTTTCTTTTTTATTTTTCAGAGAGAGATTTTTGCTATAATGCATGTGTGCTTGCCATAGAGACATAAAGTGAGAAATCATCTCTCAGGGGTGATGGCCATGCTGCAATCCCATCTCCATTCTCCTCTCAGAATTTTGGGTACGCATGCATACATGCCCGGGGTGAGTTTAAGCCACCGGGTCCAGGACTCAAACTGCGGTCAACTATGTGGGAGTCCAGTGACATAACCATTATCCCATTGCTGGTCCCATATGTGCAAATTTCTACTTATATATCTACCTGAGTGTATAAGAAGATCATACACTGATAGTTAGGACTGTGCCTGTTTGCTCATATATTTTGAAAGAAGGAATGATTGATTGAATGGTGTTTGGCGGTGTCAGAAATTCTATTTTTAAGAAACCAAGACTGACTTTATACATTTTCTTGTTTCTGAGTATAAACAACTGCCTTTCTTAATTTTCAAGTAAAATACATGTATATTTATTATTTGCAGAGTTATTTCAATTCATGAGAAGCTATCTAATCTTGCACAAATAGCTGAAATATCATTGCCAGCAGTTCCTGAAATTACTTCACATGAAAATGTATCTGATATAGAAGAAATGGAAGAGAAAACAGTTGATACAGAAATGGAAGTAAGTTATGAAATAATGGAAAATGACATTGCTATTGCAGGACAGTTGTCATTACACATAATTATTTAAATGCTTTTTACGCCATCAATGTAGTACTCTGTAACTAAACTTGAATTTTGTGACTCTTCTGCCTTCTGCTTTCTGTTTCGAGTATCAAATATGACCCAACTTTTGACACTTATGTTTCCTTCAAATTTCTTCTAAGCATACCAATTATAAGCATCTGATGGTGAATGAAAATAACGTCAGCCTAGAGAACTTATTCAGATATAATTGTGAATTTCAAGAAATAATGCTGTTGGGAACCAGCAGTTAGCGTAATGGCTATGTCGCTGGACTCCCACGTAGTCGACCGCGGTTCGCGTCCCGGACCCGGTGGCTTGAAACTCACGCCGGGCGCATGTGCGTGTGTGCCCAAGATCCCGAGAGGAGAATGGAGGAGAAGGGATTGCGGCGTGACCATCCCCCCTGGGGGGTGATTTCTCGCTTTCTGTCTCTATGTCTCTCTCTGTCTGTCTGGCGAGCGCACGCGCCCTACAGTGAAAATCTCTCAAAAAAAATAAAAAAGAAAGAAATAATGCTGTTACATTAATATTGTTTTTTTCTTTTGTACTCTGTGCCTATTATATAATCATTTTATTACCCAAGTAATACATGAAGAATAGCTAGAAGATGAAGATGAGAATGGATCATTTCAGACTTTTCCCATGCATATGTGTTTTCTAGTATCTTTCCAGTAAGCTATTTATCTGATTACAGGACTGAGTGGTTTTTGTGGTGACTGATGTTTGAATTTTGGAGGAGAGGATCATTTCTCTTCCCTTCCTGACTTCTGAACCCACTGAGAACTAGGGCACAGGAGACTGACTGACAGAGGTCGAAATATCAGCATCTTTACTGATAAAGCTGATTACAAAATGTGGATTTAAATCTGTGGCCAAATGAGCTTATTGATATTTTAACCTGGATTAGCCAGGTTTGTCCACCTCCACACACAGTCATCTGGCACCCTGTGTCACCAAAATCACTCCACTCCTGTCCCCTGCCAAGCTGACCACAGGAGAAGAGAATAACAGTCCTGCAGGTAGAGGGCCTCCAAAACGTGTCTGCACAGTGTGCCCAGAAGGGGCTGGGACAAGCATGCTCTGCTGCTTTTCCCAAACTCGCCAATCAGATAAGTCATTCCACTCTCCTAGAGGCGACTTAGTGATGGGTTCTAAAGGATCTAGAAGTGTCCCTCCTTCTTCAGGAGTGGAGCAGGAATTCCTTACCCTGTATGGACATGAGAAGGGTCAGAAATGTGCATTCTCCTTTAATTCCCTGTTCTTTAAATTTCTGTTCGTGCATTAACCCAATTTCCTGAGAAATATAATCTGTAGTTATTGTGTTCATCTTAAAAATAGATCTAAAAGACTTTAAAAATGAAAAGGTCAATCTCCCACCCAACTCGTCCTCACTCTGCAGTCCTGCTCTGTAAAACCAAACACTTTCAATGCTATTAGCTGAAGGAGGGTGACAAACAACCTCCACATCTGAGTATGTTGACTGGGGGTCTGCTCCAGTCTTCTCATGCCAGCATCTGGCTGGAGATACATCCATATATGGGACGTTGACCAAATAAGCCACATGCTGTACCAACAATGCCGCTACCTTCTTGGAAGAACACCAAAAATATTGATGAGCAGTGCCGATGGTAGCTGCCCACCATGATTGTTTTTCCCTTGAGCTATCAATTTTAGATCATTTCTATAGATTTTCTGTATGGTTTGTCCTTCTTCTCCCCAACCTCTCCTTCCTCTTTC